ATCACTACTCTAAATACAACTTTTCAATAATAACAAAAATTCAATTTAAAGGCAAGCCATGGAAAAGTCCAAAAACAGCTACCCGTCGCTCTCAACTTCCGCGTAGCTTGCGTAAGAGCTGGGACGATCGTTTAAAAGAACGAAAGGAAAAAGAAGCTACGAAACTTTTAGAACAAAAATTGAAAGATGAAGTCGCGTCCGAGAAAAAGGTGAATAAAACAGCATTATTTAGAAATAATTTAATTGATCAGATTGACACAATCAATTTTTTGCAATTAAAGCGGAAACGTGAAATTGCTATAAAGAAGAAACAGGCTTTAGAAGAAAAGGAGAGACTTGAAAAGTTAGCTGCTCTCGTAAGTTGAATTTTTAGGAATATTGTACAATTTTAAAGTAAAAAATCAATAATCTAATAATAATTGTTATTATAAAGTATTCTGCCAAAAAATTAAAGAGACTTCAAAAGAAACAAGGAAGAAGCAGCAAAAAAAAATAATAATAAGTGTACGTACATGCATACTATTTTTCAATAATATAGTACAACCTGATTTAATACTTATTTATTTTGATTAACAAGAAAAAAAAAACAACCTTTTTATTTTAAACTTTTAAACCAAATTTATAAATCTTTAAATTACAGAATTAAATTTAATCAAAACTTAGTTTGCTCTAAAAATTTAATATTAAACTAAATTATTTTTTAAAAATTTTTTAAATAACATAGACATAATATACAAATAATCTTTTTGCTTTTTTGCTTTAAGATAGTATTCAGTATAATTTATTAAAATTTTGAAAAACATCATTTTTGTTTTTCACTTAATCGATAGTTCACAAAAGGAGGAGAATGTTGTTAATAAATTCTATAGTAATCCTATTAATATGTAAAATATAAAATCGTCATTCCTTACTATATAAAATCAAAATTTTATTAAGTTACCTTCTGTGGACTTCTAATAAAATAGCTTTTGTTCTAATGGTAGTGTAAGATCGGTAAAATTGGTTGGGTAGATAAAAAGTTACAAGCAATAATTTTAAAAATTTTTATAAAACTATGATTCCTGTATTAATATATTTTATTATTTTCTATTATAAAAATCTCCCCGCGAATTGTCAATTAAATTTAATTTTTAACACTTCTACTTAAAATAAGTTTCTTATCAACTCTTGATTTTCACTTTCTAATTTTCGCCTACTTTTTCTAAAATTCTTGTTCCAAGTTTTTATTACCAAATGATTTATTGAACGTTCATTAAAAATATCTTGAAGAGAAATTCTTATTTTATTTTCGATATTGTTAAGAAAATTGTCGGCTGGTGTTCTGAAAACTCGAATTGCGCAAATAAATTTCCATGCACATGCAAGGTGGCTCGTTTAACAAACGAACGTAGATCTTTTATTTGGAAACGAAATCGAAGAGAAAGCCAATCAAATTAATTCATTATCCGTCACTAGTTATCGAAATTTTTTTTTTTTTTTAAATATACACAAAGCTTTTACAAAGATTAATTTTACTAATTTACTTACAAAATGATTGTAAAAGCAAAATATATCTTCTATCGTATAAAGCTATTTTAAAACGTTAATGACCGCTAACGAATAATATGATTCATAAGTAATGTTATTATTCGTCAGTGGAAAATTCCTGCTCCAATTTTTTCTTGACATGACCATAAAACGATTCAAAAATACTCCGATCTTTGCCATTTGTCCATGAAATTGTAACCTTAGTAGTATTAATACTAGTATTCCATGGCTCAAAATTACAAGTAAACTCAAATAAAGATTCATCAGTCGACGTAGTGACAGTGGTAGATGATTCCGTTTGACAATCTGTTTTCATCATTCTTTGTCGTCGAGCAGCACGCGACCAAGTATTGATATTTGCACCACCAGAAAACGTGTAAGAATCTTCATTCCATTGTCCTACAACTTCCAATTGATCGAATA